TCATCATTTCATCCTCTTTGTAATGAGCTATTATTGAAAATTTTATCTTGACACGACGACGCCATGTTAGAGAGGCGAAAAGGAAAAAAATAGTGTCGAAAACCAAATGATAACGAGTTTTATTGAAGATATAGATTATAATATCTCAGAAACTGAAAATCGGATCTGTATACTGTAAGCGAGGGAATTGTTTAGAATTTCATCCTCTCTGTAATGGGCTGTTATTTATAATTTATTAATCTCGCCATGTTGTTTTCACTTCTACCGTGTGGTCAAACGCATACCTTAATATTTTTTTTTCTTCTTGCTTCTATTATGAAGTTTTTATGTTGACGGTTATTAACAAAGACTATTTTTAACATACTTACTCCAACAGCTGTTACAGCTTAGAAGTGGGACTGAAGAACGCAAAACTGCCCACGCCAACTGAAACATTTAAGAGCCCTTCATCGCAATAATTAATGATGTGATTGCTCAATCAGAAACCCACTAATCGTCAGATATATTAGTCACCTTCCTATACCAGGCTATTAGAACTCGGCGACCCTTCGATATTCTACAGATCCTGCAATTCAAATGCTTCTTAAATCCCGTTCCACCAGACCTCGTACGTCCGACCTCTATCCTCCTCATCACTGAACTGCTACATTTAACAAATCCTTTTTAATTCAAGTTGTCTCCCTCTGAAACTCTCTCAGATATTCGACACGAACATCACGAAATGCACTTAAAATCTAAGTTGTAAGAATGTCAAAGTACCCCCCAGACACTTTGATTATTTTGTGATTTAATGATATTTTGTTTATTTATTTTATTTTCTCTGTTTATTTTATATTTATCATTTTATTACCTGTACTTTTATTTTATTATTAATTATTCTGTAAATATTTAATTATATTTTATGTACACACCAGAATATAGATATATATTCTGTATTTGTTATTTGTTCTAAAGGGACATTAGTCCCAGAATAATAAAATTATTTTCATTCATTTATATATGATTAAATCGCTTTTTATCTATTAGAATACGTTTAAAATTTTCATAATTTCCCATGGCACAGACCGCTTTTTATCAAATTATTAAAATCCGTCTATAACTTCGTAAGGAGCTTCACCTCATCTGAATTTACAAAAATTTTCGGAACGGGGGCATTTTTAATGAGGAGATTGGCAAACTTTGTCTATTTAATTAGATACTAAACACTGATGAATATCTATTTGCTTTCATCTCGAATCATAAGATAATATTATCACATTGTCTAAACAAAATGTGGCCTACAAAAATATTGATCCGTTTGGCGTGACCTCCACCTCCAAAATGTCAAAATAAAAAGGTTATATAGGTCAAACGTTCTAATGTTTTAGAAAGCCTTTTTTTTTCTTCATCTTTTCCTCATATTATCTCACGATTAAGTGAAAAGCAAATGGGTACTTATCAGTGATTAGTACGTAATTAAATATACAAAGTTTGCCGATCTCCACACTGAAAACACCCCCATTTCGAGAATTTTCGCAAATAAAATATTTTATATATTATATAAAATTTATTTTATATAAAATATTATATATATTTACTGCTACAACTCTCATGGATGGTTAAAACGACATTGTCACCGCAACCTAACGTAAATATATTGGATTTCTCTTATACAAATATACCCACTCATATATCAAAAATGAACATCTCAAAACTTGGTTTTGTAATTTCTTTTTTTTATTATCTCCAGCATTTTTATTTTCCGACAAATGATGTATTAACAAAAAGTTTTTTTTCTTTTTCTTTCTCTTTATTGCTGTTAAATGTAGAGTAATCCTAACAAAAAATATTTGCACTTATAATCAAATTTTGACAATTATATTTCCAACAAAAATGTTTGTTTTGTTTTGAAATTATCAAAACGTGAAAAATCTGGACAAAATCACATTTAATATTTATTTATACAATCCTATGATATTTATTTTCGTGTATTTAGTTTAGTTTTTTTAAATTGAACTAATTATCTTTAAAAATATATTTCGTTTTCTAATCCTTTAGTAACTTAATGAAGTAAAATAAACTTTTTATTATTGGATTTATTTCTTGCAACTAACAATATCCTGGAATGAGAAGTCCTAGTAGACAGTTCAAGGATAAAGACAACGCCCCTAACGGTACCCATGTCCTTTAGCTCTCCTGGAAATTTGCAGGATGAAAACATCTTTCCGAAGAACATAAAGTTAGTGAAAAATCCTGTCAATTACTTTTTTATTCTACTGCATTATCCTCAAAGAGTTATTTCCCGTTTTTATTTTCATCTTACTAAGATTTCTTCCATATTATTTCGTCAATCTATTGGGTCGGCAAATTAGTCCTTTCGTATTTCAGGGTGAAATAAAACTCAATTTAAAATTTTTATACTGCAAATCAAAGCCTATTTTACTTACTTCGCAACTTTGTTGTTTTTGAAATTTATCGTTTTCGAGATAAATCATAATTTTTGTTAAAAGCCCCGTAGGTACTGAAGTAGAACTGAATAGAACAATAAACTTCATTCTGGAACAAAGTCCTCTCAGAAATAATGAACAAATAAAAAAATAAAATACACATCTGGCCCTTGAAAAATTCTAATAATATATACACAAAGTTACATAATAATTTGAAAACAGCTAAAAAAAATTAAATTTTATCATGAATAGTTATAGTTGTAATGTGAGAAAAAATATATATAGAAAGAAAAATCAAAACCTGGAGAAAAGAAAAAGTATCAGAAATAAATAAAGAAAAAGCATTGATTTTTTATGTTAAAAACATTAACAATTAGATAACCTAATAAAAATTGTAATAAACATAGAATCTTTTCAAGAAAAGTTACAGTTGTAATGTGAGAAAAGAAAAAAAAATATATACATACTATGGTACATATGTATATATATATATATATATATATATATATATATATATATATATATATAATACATTATATTTACTATTGTATATATATAATATATATATATTATATGCTATGGTTGTCATGGAATACTAATCGTATGTTTAGGTTTTAAAAATTAAAATATTGATATTTATAATAGTCTCCGACGAACTAAAAATCCATAGGAAAGATAATTCGAGGAGAGTTGCTATGTGCTATTTCCAATAATAACAGAAAGAACATTTTTGATATTTTTAATAAATGAATAAAAATATCCATGTATGGATGGCTTCTATAGTTCTTCTATGGTCTTTGTAGGTGAGACAACTACTAACTCTAGAATAGATGTGGCTTAGTGCTCACTATTAAACTGGAGCGATATTTTTCAGTGGGGCAAACTAATGACTTATTAAATAAACTGTTACTTTAACTGTTGTAGTAAAGTATGAACATTCGTCAATTGTGTTTGTTGAATAGACAATATTGATAATATTATATTATATATAGGAATAAACATGATGTCGATATATTGGGGAGAAGGGTGTGAGAGTTCTCATTTGCTTATACTAGTAAGCGTTATTATTGTACTAATGTTTCGATTGTACAAATACTTGCTTGTCGAGATCATATTGATGCGACCGTCTGGAATTGTGGATATAAACGATGAACACATGGGTCTAATTAAAGCGCAACATAATGGCTATTTTCAAGAATTATGTCAGATTGATTCAAATGAGAATTAACTTAACAACTCTTCTTTATGATTCCCCGATTTAATAAACAGATATATCTCTGACTCAGTAACAACTGAACTGAGTTCATACTCTTTTTTGTCGTATAAATGTTCATGAAGAATAAATGATAGAAGAGGAATTAGATATAACTCTTTAAATCAGTTCACGAGAGAATCTTCTGGTTCTATTATTATTGTTCGTTCACGGTAATTTGGTGTGAGCCAAATATTACCCATTGATCTGTAAGTGAATTATGTTGCGCTGGCGATTGTGAAAATTGGTGTGGACTGTATGAGGTTGGATCACTGAAATTTGATGCTTGATTAAATTAAACAAAATATTGAGAACATGATTATAATGCATATGATTGAATAAATTAAAATAAATGTAATTTATGCCTTTGTACAGACTAATTACATATTGCTTGATTGTCAATTTGGACTCACTTTCTGTCTGAATTTGAGCTTCATAGTTTTTGCTTATTTCTTCTTCCTCCCCATACTTCCTCCACAAGGCTGTTCTCTTAGAGTTTAGCAACTCATATTGTCTTATCTTACCATTTCTTATGAGAGTACCTTAATGTGTGCACACTTCACCAAATGAACAGATTAACTCTACAGGAATGGTTTTCAGCAAGATGGTGGCCATAAAAATGGTGGGGAAGTTCTGACTGTATTGAATTGATATTTTTTGTGTTTCAGGGGTTGATTCCTGAACAATTATTTTTTCTGTTTCGGTTTTTAACAATGTATGTGCTATTGACAATGTACATCTTTGGCCGCTTGATGAAGTCTTCTGACAGTTATGTATTGCTTGCGGAAGCATAAATAGCCTGGAGGGGTTGACGCAACCACACGTTGCTAAGGACTATGGTTTCCATATTGCTGCAACATGTCGCTTATAAACCCAGAGCCTATCCCTTTAGGCCCATCGGCAAATCGGTTTAGACCCATCGATTATGGCTCCTCAGATTCAGCAGGCGCACGAAGACCTATATTTCTTTCTTTGAAACTCTGAACTAAACATTACACGAAGTAGGGTCATCACCCCTAAGTTTCCTCCAGTACTTTCATGGGTCTCAAAAACCCGGGATCTCTGGCGCAGTGTGGCTTTCTCAGGTGGATGGTCGCTGATCCATATACTTGCCGGCCCCCATTGCTGTCTCTATTAACATCAGTAATTTTTCCAGTCATTTTTTTTTTTTCGCACTTGGACTAAAATTGTTATGTATATTAATTTCAATCTTGTTCATCTCCTCATCTCTCCTTCATCTCAAGATCTCCTCATTCAATCTTGTTCATCTTGTTAATGTACCTGCTACTTGTACCTTATAGATTCTTGTGTTTTTCCTTCAGGTGGAGGATGGACGAGGAGATCGCCTGGGTGGAATCATGCTCGGTCGGCTGACGGGGACAGACATCGCCGATCTGTTCTTCAGGCCAGCCACAGAGGCCGCTCTCCTACCTCCCATCAGGCCGGTAAGGGGCTTTCTCACCCAGGTACTGTCCCTTGTCTATGTCTATGTTATATTAATGAATATGTATATGTATAATGTTTACATGTAATATCGTATCCAATATATTAGAGATGTGTATCGTAAATGTCTTTGTTCTGCATGGTATATCTTTAATTGTTTATACTGTCTAATATGTATAGAATCAATATAGACATCTGTATTATGTGTAGAAAATATGAGAAGATTGTAAGGAAAATAAATATTAATATATTTTTTTTCTAAGGCCTGTTGAATTCGACTTTTTTGTCATGAGTCTTCTTTAGCAGCTTGGAACTGTTGTAGGCGTAGTAGTGATCGTTTGGTTCTCTCTTCTTCGAGATATTCAGGAAGCACGTGGCTTACTAATCGGACGCAATCATAATTCACTTCCTCTTCATCAGAAAATTTTCTAAAGAATGGTCGGCAATCTTCTGCAGCAATCTTCCACCCAGTTTTTTATGGGATAGAGGATTATCAGCCATATTCCCAATCCCCAACCTGAAGAATGAGGAGCTATGGTGTAAGACACAGTGGTCATTCGCCTCCCTATGAATCTCAGAGTGGGGACATAACCACCACCATGCGGGAATCGAGTCCGCGCCGAAGTGTTCTAAGTAGCCGAATAGGGCCTTCATTTATTAATTTTAATTTATTTATTTATTTGTTTGTATGCCTCTATCCACTAGGGTCATTGGCAATCCTCAACTCACTCACACTTTTCATAATCTATTGTAGAAACCAATTGTTTTCAATAAGTCCAGTAAGATTTCCACTTCTCTCTCCGCATTCTGCAACACGTCCCGGATAGTACCATGCATGTTAAGATTCTTTCGGATATCTGCATAATGAGTGCAATCCACCAGTATGTGGTTCACAGTTCTAGGAGAACCACACTTGACGCAGGTAGGTGGTTCTCGACCGTGGAGAAGGTACCTCTGCGAAAATTCGCAGTGACCAATCTGAGGCGGCACAGGATAATTTCCTCTCTTCTAGACCTCCTATTACTCGTACGCCATTTAGCACTATTGGGGTTAACCGGAGCAAGTTTGGAGGGGTTCCTTCTTCATATTTCATTCCATTGAGCTATTATTTGACATTTCGCTTGCCTCGCCCAGTCCGCCCGAGGAACATAATCATAATTTTAATTTATTATTAATTATTTTATTTTATTTTTTTATCATTTTTTGTGTTAACTCAATTTGAGATTTTGTGAGTTAACAAGAATAAAATAGTACAATATTACATATTGAATATTTTCCTATATTTTTAAAAATTTCTCGTACCAATTTTTGTTTTATTACTTTACTTCTATTTTAGCATATTAATGAATCGGTTTCCCTAAAGTTAAGTTCTTAAACTCCTTTATAATCTGAAGAGGCCTTCCTTTAATTCTCTCGGTCTTACTTTCTTCCTCATTTCGCGTATAGCTATTAAAAAACGTTCTCTTTAGGGCTTTTCCTTGTTCTTCTGAGGTTTTTCATTTCAGATCTCATCCAAATCGATTCTTAGAGCAAAGTGGTATTCCTGACTTATTTTCCTCTTTTTGTTTTGCTCTAAACTCTTCTCAAACAGCAAGCTCCATGACCTGGAATGGGTTTGTTATCAGAAATAATTACATTTAATTTTTACCCAAGCCATAACCATCTTCTCCTAGAATAATTATTTTTAAACTTACTCTTGTAGGAATGGGATTACAGAGGAAGAAGCCCCAGCCCTCAAGAGAGCAGGACCAAGTCTTCTCTCAGCATCGAGACCTTGGTCGCCGAAGAAGAACAGAGACCACTGCCGAGGTATCCTGTTCGCCATAAGACCAGGGAGGACTTCATGTTAGTACTCCTAGAAGAATAGTTTTAGCATGTAATGTAGTCATGTGAAAATCCCCACTGTCTCAGCTATTTTTAAATATTAGCGTTGGTAAAGAAATATATCATTCTTGATAAATTTAGCTGAACAATTGTTGGTTAAGGATTTTGAAAAAGTGGAAAAATGTCGATAGCTTCCTTTTATACTAATGGCCGCTGAATCAAATATATATCGGAAGCACTAGGCGTCCTCAATCGTCAGCAGTCGATAAGTTTGTTCTAATATGGAATCGTATATAACAAAGCTTTGTGTCGATCAGTTTATCGCTCGTTCATCTCGAATGGTTCCGTCAGAGAATCGATTACTTGGTCAGTAATTGCTAGGCCTTGTTATTGCGCGATGACCTTTCGGGCCCTGTCGGACCCGAGTAAGTTCTAAAGAGATAATAGAGAATCTGAAAACAAAACAAACAATCGTGAAGTGTGTACCATCAATGTATGTGCATGCCATATGTCAATATTAACTAATCCATTTCGCTCTTTTCTAGGTATCTCTTTGTTTTAAATCGATAGTTAAACTATTAATACGAATGGTAAATAATTCCGATTTAATTAATTAATTTACGTAAATTTAAATTTTCTGAAATCAACCAACAAACTACAATCATAAATGTATTCCAATTTGCTTACATGAAATATTTATTTATAATTAAAAATGAATATTATAAATGTTCGTAATTTCTACACATTCATGAGTAATTTAAAGTGAACTAACAATTTTTTTCCGGTGGTTTTACATCGAAAAATATAGTGTCATGTATGTCAGCGTTCGTTCCTCAGTAGCTGAGAATAAAATATATAATATTGTTTTTTATTTGCTTGAATCGGATTTCAAAGTTATTATCTAACAATCAATTTGTTCGTTTGTATAAAATAACTTTAAAGTAGTCAGATACATAGCGTCCTTTGAAACTCCCAATCACGATTTAGTTGAAGCTCCAAATTACGTATCCAACACACTTACTTCATTCACCATTTCCATTCATCTCTATGATCCTCTCTATAGACTTAAACAAGATTTTTTCTATTTATTATTAAATATTTTAGGTTCTACATTTGTGTATCATCCCGAACCTCCGTAAACCTGATACTCAGTAGAGGAGACTGGGTACGGTTATGACAATTTTCATTTGATCGTTCTCAAGTTTGTTAGTATACCATTTGGATAAAAGAAAGGTGTTTTTTATAATAAAGTGTACACTTGACTATGTATAAATACTAAAATTTAGTCCGAAGGTACAATGGTTATCTCATAGAAGAAAAATATGAAAAAACAAAATAATCTACCCCATTCCAAAGACAGTTGTGACAGTACCTGGGTTCGGCATTGGCAATTCAAAAATACACCAAAATAGTCTAAAATCCCTTTTATTGTATTGCATAACATTATAGAATGATTTAATCGTCTATAATTAATAAGGCATAGACATCTGTGTAAGAATCATCTTGCAGTCTTCCTTGAGCGTTTTCTGGGCGTCTAATAGCAAAAAATAAAACTTACTTTTCTCACAAACTTAACTCAGAAAATATGTCACAACCCAACGCACTTCTTTGCAAAAAAATAAAACAAAAACCAGTCGTCACGACAATATAAAATGATCTAAGGACAAAGTAACTGCTAATTAACAACTAATGTTTAACGAAGAAAAACATTCAATGCTCTACTTTTTTTTTTTTTTTTTGGGGTCTTCCGTTCCTCGCCGTTAAGGGTATACGGGGTTTCCCCGGACCAGGGAGTGTGGACGGGGATTTAAAAGATGACTTGGCACCGGGACATGAACTCGTGACCTCCCGGCCACTCAATGTTCTATCTGTACATACCTAGTTCTGCCATAAATACTGTTACAAAAGTTGAACTTTAACAAGTTATTTTCTTAACGTGTCTGGATAATAATCCCAATTAGTTTGTATTTTTCTTTCACTCAGTTAACATGGAGTGGGGTTATAAAGAAAACCGAATAGCTGTGATTGCCTTACACAAAGTTGGAAAAAATAGGTCAGAGATTTTCAAAACTTGGAAATATTTGGGTATCAGCCGTATGTTCGTGTAACGCACTATAAATAGATATAAGAAGATCCTATCTGTATGTGACAGATCTCGACCGGGCCGTCATCGCACTGTTAGAACGGCAAATGCAGTGAGAGCAGTGGCTGCTCGAATCAGAAAAATCCCATTCAAAAACTACAAACTCCGTCTCGGGAAATGGGAATCTGTCAGATCAAAGTCTCGCATAATAAAAAGTGAACTAAGCATGGGTGTATTAAGAAGAATGACAAGACAAAGGCTAACCACTTCCCTAAAAAAAAATTAGAGTGGATAGATGCGGAGTGCTGCTTGGTCAAAGCATCAATGGTGTTCATTGAAAGATGTTGTTTAAGGATGAGAAAATGTTTACAATTGAAGAATGTAATGTAAAAATGTAATCGCCAAAATGATCTAGTATACCTACACAGCTCTAAAAAAGTCCAGAAAGTCATTGGAAGAGTAAAAAGAGGTCATCCTTCTTCCTCAGTGATAGTTTGGTGGGGAGTTTGCTTTGATGGCACCACAAAGCTCCAGTTTTTGAAAAAGGAGTTAAAACAATCGCTAAAAACTATAAGGATTATATTTTGGAACCTGTTTTCAAGCCTCTAAATGATACTCTGTTTGCTGGAACTCATTGGGTTTTCCAGCAGGATTCGGCTCCAGCTCATAAGGTCAGGTCAATACTGCAGTGGCTGAACTTCTGGAAGAACATTCCAGAGTTCATCTCTGCCTCGGATTGGCCCTTGGCTCAAACCACTAGTTTACCGGCTTTGGTCTGTAATGGAGAGGAGGGCATGGCAGAGAGTACACCCTAACTTGAAAAGCCTCAAAAGTAATCTAGATATGTTACAGCTCCTCCAAAAATCCATCTCTATATATTTATAAATAAAAAATTAGTTTTGAGAATAGCTAGTTTTTTTCATTTGTTAGGATTACTTGTAGCTCAACTGTGTAACAATCTTAATCGACATTTAATGGGTGAGTAAAAATATTACAACTTAAACTATTTGTTGGCAGGCAAGACGTGAGAAGGGCCGAACAGACTGAAAACTACATCGCGGTCCAACGATTCTACATGAGGTCCTTCGATTCGTTCGCTCAAATCAACGCTTTATTTAAGGTTAAAAATTATTTCTTGATTAATTTTATGTTTTATATATATATATATATATATATATATATATATATATATATATATATATATATTCATATATATATATTTATATATATTTTACGATAGACATTTCATTCTGTACAGGTGGATCGGGAAGAGATCGGAGGAAGGCCAGATGATCCTGGGCTTAAAATGGAGTTCGTCTACGCCGTCAACGATGCAATCAAGAATATGGTACGTCCGAAATATGTATATTAATTAAAATATCTTTTATTGTTTATCTAGATCTTCTCTCTAACAAGGAGGAGAAAGGGAATAAAAATTAAAAAAACAAAAAACATTTCATTTAGTAAAGTAGTATTACATAGCAAAGACGCACACTTTCTATTTTGATTGAAGGGGCGAAGAAAAAAAAAAAAAAAAAAGGTAAACATTTAAATATACTTTCAAATATCTGAACAAAAAAATTTAATATATTACGTAAATTTCTATAGCGTTTCCAGCTAAGTATGAATAATGCTAAATACTGAAACGGATTTTTGTTTACTTAGTTTTACAAAATAAAAATACGTTTCCACATTCTGAAAAGCTATGTAAAAATATCGATAAAAAACATACTTTACAAAACATATTAACATTTACATGCCTATTCTTATTAAATATATTTTTACCAAATTTTCTGCGAAATATGTGATAAGAATGGAACATGAAATGGAAAGGTGGAAACGAGGACCATCAAAAATTTCTAGGCATATTTTGACGAAGTTTTTAAATTTTTTAGGAGAGAACATTCCAACGGGGTTATGAATTTTCGTAATGAATAATTTCTAACCAGGGGACAAGGTGAAAATTTGTAACAGATCGCAGCAAGTGTAATTGTATCTGATCTACGATTTTTCTAATTCTTGCACTATTTTAGAGAAGAGGTGAGCAATAAAATAACTTGGGAGGGGAGGAGGAAGGTTCATACGCTATCGATCTGGCTTCATAAAGCTGGTATGGTTTCTCCTATATAGATCGTACCTTTATTCATAAATATCCTTTATTCTATATGTGATAGATCTCGCAATTCCATACAGAGTATGGAGATTTTCGAGCCAATCTCTATGGGCTTGGAAAGGACTCTGATCTCCTATGCTCTAGCTTGGGGATACCGGAGACTGCTGAGTACATTATCATAAACTGCCTTTGAGTCGCTAAGGGCCAAATTGCTGAAGGAGACCAGTCTCTATGTTTCACTGAGAATAATTTTGGGAGAAGATAGCTACCTCGCAAAAAGAAGACCTGGGGGCTCCGGGAAGGCCACTGTGACGAAGAAGAGCTGAAATTATAAACACTTGAATATTTAAGTGCCTGAAGCTATATAGCTGATTACAATATCTAAATATTTGCATTGCAGTTGGAATACTTGCAGTACAATGGGAAGCAACTCAGTTCTACAAAATCCGTATTGCCTAAATGGCAATGAAAGGTATAAATTAATGTTATTCTGTATGTTATGATATGATAACATATTCCATTGGTGGATAAGGCATAAAAGCAAACGAGAATTTTTCCTATTCCATGAGAAGGACCCAAATATTATCTGACTTATTTAATAATTTATGTCTAGATGTACTTAATATCCGTGGACTATCACGGAAATTCCAGGACATTACTTTTACGAAACTGACCAAGATATGATATGGCTGAAGTCAAAACAAACACTGTCGACAAGAGGTCACGAACTCCCTTTCAAGTCCGACTTTGGGATTCAATAATTCATCAACTTCTTAGTTTTGGTGATTCCCCAAGCCAATACTTTCGTGTGGTAGACCAACTCACATCAAAGATTAATTAAAACGGTCAGTTATAGCGTGCCCCTTTAGTATTAACTAATAATCTATAATAACAGGGCTAGTTTCCAATCGGTCGGCCTTTCTTGCTTAGGAAAAACATTATTGTGAATGATAATAATTAACAAATATTGAATACATTTTGTTGTGAAGTAGAATTTCGGAGATGGTTGTGAACTTCTTGTGAAGAGAGTTCTCTTCACAGTCAAAGTAACAGCTTAGAATTTTTTTCTTATTATTCATAACTTCTTTGTTATTTTTTGTGAGGTATTATAAAGCTGTTGATTTCATTTCTTTCATTCAACTATTTGAAGTTATTCCTGGAAGTTAGGGTGATTGAAAAAGTTTTTTTTTCCTGTTATTTAAAAACCTAAATTTATATGACGTAATAAGAATTAATAGTTTATTTTTTTCTGTACATTTTCAATTAATCGTTAATTTTTGTAACTGTAGTATATTTATCTAATAGTTGGAGAACCTACAGTATTTTGTGCGGCTTTCATTAATACTATATCTAAAATTAATTAATATTTAATCATATGAGCCTTTCAGTTGACATTTATATTATTTATTGAACATACCTATTGTATTTTATGTCTTTTTATGGATGGGGTTAGTAAGAGAGAGAGAGAGGAGAAAATATGAGGAGGAATAAGAGGAATATATAAGGGGAGAGAAGCGAAAGAAAAGAAAGTAAAATGTTGATGGATGAATAAAACAAATTATCAAAAAAGAAGAAAAAAATAACACATGTATATAAAAAAAATTAATAATAATAAAAATATGGGTGATAAATAGTCAGAATGCAGTCATATATATTTTTTTTTTGCCAACGTTTCAACTCAAACATGTGGGTCATCATCAGGGAAGAAAATTTTAAAATACAATCAGAGATATAATATTATACGACCGATAATGGTAAATAATAAACAATAGTGATTGATGGTACATGAATCTTAACTATTATTACAATAAACAATATTAAAAATGAAATATGTAAAAAGTTATACGATTACCGGTCGTATAATATTATATCTCTGATTGTATTTTAAAATTTTCAGCCTTAAAGAAGACTGTTTGGGTTGAAACGTTGGCACATATAAAAAAAAAAATGTATAATGACAACGTCCTGACTATTTATCACCCATCATATGTAGAACAGCTTCCTTCAATAAAAAAATATATTACATATTATGGTTATATATATATTGTTAATACTGTATATTTATATATTAGGTTTAAAAAATTGTCCATAATGATTTATTACTATGCTGTGTTTGTATGCAGCACCCATTTTATGAACATAAAGTGATTCTCTCTCCAATTTCAATAATTTTATAATTAATTTTAGTGCTATTTTTAGTGGAAAAATGTATACCTTTATTCACAGCTCTGTATTTTAACACTGCAATCACCTACTCTAGAATCAATTTAACCACTATCTGTACAGATATTATAAATTTTTCAACTAGAAATATCACTAAAATGACTTTATGATGATTATTTTTTTTATAAATAGGGACAAATAAATAGAAATATCCACAATGAAATGTAAATAAATTTATTAGCGTTGCCTATCCTAAAAACGGATTATTTTATTGTAGAATTCTAATTACTTTAGTAAACATCATAGTTGTTTCAGCTTACTAAAGTCCTATTTTTTACCTATAAATTATTTTTTTATGGTAAACAATATTTTTATTGTTTCAGCCTTCCATTGTTCACAAAACGATCCTTAAATCGATTATAAATGCATTACTGGAAGAAGAAAGGCTGTAAGTATGCTTAGAAATTCAATAATATAGACTATTTACTTTTTATTATTATCCAATGTTTTATCTATCTTAATCAGGATTATGTAATCCAAAAATATTTTTAATTAACTCATATATAAAAGAAGATGAATAAAATATTATATTTGGAGTACATTAACTAACAAACATTACTTTAACTGATTTATTATTATTTCTTTTTTATTTAGAAATATAATAATCTGTCACGTGGACAATGATTATAGTGAGATATGAACACATTCACATCATATATACAGGAAACATAAAATTAACAAAAGTAAAATGATAACTAAATAATAATCAAACAACTATGTACAATAAAAAATGAAATAACCTAAAGATAAGTAAATTAAAAATTCATGTTTAACTAACTAATTAAGCATGGTCCATATCAAACACGATATACAGGTTGTTTCGTAAGTGGAAGGAAATCTTTAAAAGGCTGATAGTAGACATCAAAGTCTACAAAAAATGTTCATAAACAATTGCCACTTTTTTTTTTTTGTTGTATAGGAAGCGATAACTACAAAAATATTTAATTTAAGTAATATACAATTACTTCATAGTGAACAAGATGAAATTTACTTCAAATGAAATTGGAGTTTGTCATTGTTGAGACCATTTAAAGAATACTTTTGAACGGCTGAACTGCGATAAGTTCTGTTAAAAAAATTATAAATTATTTACGATTTTTTTTTATTAACCTAAAACTAGATACCATATTTTTTTAAAAAAATCCTCACTTAGTAAGCTGGAAGTCCATATTAATTAAGTTGAAGTTTAATAGGAAAAAATTTGAGATTCACCTCAAGTTGTGAATAAAAAAAAATATATGATTTTATATATTACAATAATAGTCCGTGGTACAGACTCCTTTTTATCGAATTATTAACATCTGCCTGAAACTTCGTAAATAGTTTCATCTCATCGTAACCTATAACTATTTTATTTACGAAAACTGTAGAAATTGGGGCGTTTTCAATCTGGAGGAGGGCAAGCTTTCTCTATTTAATTACGTACTAAAAACTCGTAAATACCCATTTGCTTTCTACTTGGATCGTAAAATAATTTGTTGACAAAATCGATAAAAAAGGTGGTCTATAAAATTATTGGGCCGTTTGTCCTATGTAACATCGTTATATTCAAAATTTGGGGTGTAGGTCACGCCAAACGGATCAATATTTTTGAAGGTCACCTTTTTTCTCGATTTTGTTATCAAATTATTTCACGACCCAAGTAGAAAGGAAATGGTCATTTACGATTTATATGCTATATATATATTTAAAAACATTTTTTAATCAACCTTTGAGTATTATATTTTAAAATAATAATTTAATTGGGAATAAATAATACATATTACAGTAGCTTAATTATGTGCGGATGGACGGTGCTGAGACTGTCGGTGTGTCCCTGGTCTGAAGTATCCGGGCTCTATTTTAAACTTTGAAGAAGATCCCATTGTTAACTTATAAAAAAAAACCGGGATCGAAACGTCGAATAAACATAGAAGCAATAAACATTTAGTAGTTTTTTTTTTGGCATCTACTTTTTTATTGAAAAATATTACAATCTGTCTCAAGGACATTTATAATAGTGTTCACAGATCACATTCACACTCCATGTACAATAAATAAATAACACAGAAAAATAATATATGTATATACAATAAATAAAAATAAAATAACCTAAAAAATAAATAAATAAAAAGAACACATACATACCTATATAAAATATTTACAATCTGGCGAGAGAACTCCAAACCAGACTTGTCCCTCCAACTGTAGTTTATTGAATAATTATTAAGTGACCTTATTCCCAATTAAATAATTATTTTAAAATATAATACTCAAAGGTCGATTAAAAAATGTTTGTAAATATATATATAGCATATATATGATTAGTATAAATATATAATTGCATATACTTACATATTATATAGGGTATCCCGTAAGTAGGGGGAAATATTTAAAAGTTTGATAGTATATATATATATATATATATATATATATATATATATATATATATATATATGCTATAGTTTCATCCATAAAGAATTTCCCTGAATGCCTATCAGGATGGCCTGAGAGGAGCATATAGGGCGAAAGCAGTTGGGAGCACTACAAAGCTGGTATTAGGTTGAGGAGCTCTTGGCACTCCCTACCATCCTGATAGCAATCAGACTGAAAGTGAGAACGGACAGGTGTTTGTGACAGGTGACTGGTCTAGGAGTGGGAGAGAAAACGCCCAAACGTTTGAAAAGAACAGTTCTTGATCTCAAACGAATGAACTGTTCTTCCAAACGATAAGAACTGTTGTTTTTCTTTAGTTCACCCGTTTGCCACTAGTCGAGTTGCTGTTGGATCTGTTTTTCGTTTCGTTTTTTCCAAACAAAACAAAAGCTCTTTCTGCTTTCCAGGGAACCTAACAATTCAACATGAAAATAACCCAACAGTTTTTTTTTTATAAGACATGTTTCAGCTGTTAAGTTTAGGGACGTAATTTTCAGCACCCATTATTAATAAAGGCTAGATAAATAAATAAAAACTTTCATTATAATTACTGCATTACTAAATTAACTTAAGAATATTTGTAGGCAAAATTAGTTTATGTTTTCAGATGTATCTATCTATATTAATGTCTTGCAAATCGAAAATAATTTTTATGATTCAACATATTCACATTAATCAATTTAATTGCATAAATAAAATTAAACACTATTATGTTCTATAAAAATTTAAAAATGCAAACAGTTGAAAAATTGTTTAAATTACAGTTAAAAGACTCATGATGAACAAGCAGCATAATTTCAAACTTCGAACATACAAGAAAGTCAAAATATTGTTAAAATAAAAAATGTTTTAAGTGTAAAAAATAATTTTTAGTTTTAATTAGTTAAAAAGAAATTTTTAAGATCAAACATTCATGTTATATCACAAATTAATTCAAAGGTTATCAATTTCAAGCTCGAACAATGCCAAACTTCATACATAAAAGGATTCATTCATTTCCAGACTTGCTATTAAACGAATAGGTATTACTGCATGAATCGTTGAGTTGTTCTATGAACTATTTTTTTTCTAATAGTTCTTAGGGACTGTTGTTTTTGGTCAGTGAACAGTTCATTTACGTTTTTCAAAAGTAGCAGAAACGCCCACCTCTATTTAGCGGTGGGAGAGAAAATACCAAACGTTTTAAATCAAGAACTGTTTGTTTTTCGAAAATTCTTGGAAGTAGAACGTTTTTTAAACTGGAGATCGCCAAACTTTGTCTATTTAATTAGGTACTAAAAACTCGTAGATTATATATTCTCGTTATTTTCACATGTTATCTTTTATCTCGATTTTGTGCTTCTTATCTCTTATAATTCAAGTAGAAAGAAAATGAGCATTTACGAGTTTTTAATACCTAATTAAATAGATGAAGTTGAGTACGCCCCAATTTCAAGAATTTTCGTAAATAAAATAGTTGTAGGTTACGATAAGATGAAGCTGTTTACGAAGTTTCTGGCGGATGTTAGTAATTTGATAAAAAGGATTCTGTACCACGGACTATAATGTAAACCTTTAACTAAAAATGCAGTAACAATCAGTCTTTAATTATTGGTTTATCTTTTTATGAAATGAGAAAAAAGGCAACAGAAGAAGGGATCCAAAGAGGAATAAAACATAGAACTAAGCATTTACGTAACAAAAGATCGGTCAGCGATGATGTAATGAGAAGAGTTGATACTGCGAATTGCTTTACCTATATAATCATTATCGACCTAAGTCTTCTTATTTATATTAAGGTTAATAAGATTAAAGTATATTTTTCTTGGAATGTTACAATTAAAGGTTCTACCAATCATCAGGAACTTAAGACGCCGAAACTTTTTATTTTGTATTGTCTTATTTTTTGTTTTGACGTTTTTAGACCAAAAACTAAATTTTTAGTGCTTGTAAGCCAACATCTCTATTGTAATTTAGATACAAGAAAAACTAATCTATTTAGTAGTTTTAGAATCACTAAATAAAATTGATGTCCTAAATCATTAGTTCAGGAGTCGGAAGTTGAGTATTTTATATAAAACAATGGTACTACATTTTCACAATAATGGTACTACATTTTCTAAATAATAATTCGATACAATTCTTTCCTACCAATGGAAACCTTACTTTCGTGGAGAAATATGATTTTTTATATCACTCTAGCACTTTTTCCACAAATAAATTATAATAACAATTACAAATAAGGAAATACGTCTGCCAAAAACAGTACTAAAATTGATACAATTTTGTGCTTTGAAAAATTACCATGTCATGATCCGTAAAGTTTTGAGACCTCCTAGTTTTTCAGTGACTTTTACTGCAGATGTAGTTGGGTAATTCATCAATGAAATTCCCTATATTGTGATATCTTATTCATCAAAATATACAGCTTCTGAGATTCTTAAAGCGATTTATATTTTCGTATTTATAATTATGTACGCATGACATACCTATCAACTTCGAAACATTGATCACGCTGTCACCTACACTGATGATACAACAAAATTTTAACAAAACATCAGACTAGCATCAATGAATTTACAAAATTATTTACTGAATTTACAAAATTGGTACTCATTTGGAAAATAAGATTAAATCATGACAAGTCACAACATATAACATTAACACTTTGACAAGACACGTACTCAGCAGTTTATATAGAACAAACCACATTCCTCAGACAAACACAGTACGTTACCTTGGATTAATATTCGGCAGAAGGATGACCTGGGGCCCATACGTCAAACTGAAACGACAAACTTTAAACAAGCTACTGAAAATCCTGGACTCACATTTTTCTATATCGAAATTGAGAGTTCGATAAAAACTAAATACATACACTTACCTACTCAAAGCCATCTGGACATACGCTTTTCAGATTTACGGTTTGGCAAAAAATACGCACTTACAAAAACTACAGTAATTTCAATCCAAAATTTTACGACTTTTTTAAAAATTATTTTATTGAAATTTACAACTGTAAACGTATATACAACCAGTAAATTTGGTATAGGAATATATTACATGAAGGTACTTGTGAAGAAGCTACCCATTGGTAACACTTCAAAGATAAATTAATTTAAGAGGTCCCTTGGCCATCTTCTTTTCAGACGTCTCGGAAGGTTGTCAGGAAATGTTTTGGATGAAAGGTTACAAACTAGAGGATTGGGGTGACCAAAGAGTTTGGAATGATAAGAGGAATATCTAGTTCAGGCCAAGTCTTCCACAAGAGGAATGTTGAGGTCTTTATGGGTAACTTTATTTGTTACATAATAAGGAGCATTTAGGATTTTACGGAGGATTTCGGATTGTAAGGATTGGGTACGGGAAGAATTTGATGTTTTTGTAGAGCCCTTAAGCTCAATACCGTATGTCCATAGGGCCTGATGATGGTAGTGTAAATGAGTTTTTTTAGAATATTGGAAGTTTAGAGCGTTTATCAAGTAAGTGTTGTAGTAGTCGGAATCTGTTGGCAGTTTTTTGTCTTTTAAATTATGAGGATTCCAAGTAAGGCGTTTGTCAAGAAGGAGTCCTAGGTAACGGATATGTTCGACAGGGATCAGTGGAATATTGTTATAGGATATGTGGGACAGGATGTTGTAGGTTTATGGTGAAGGGTAAAAGTAATTTGTTTGGATTAATTTAAGGTAGTGAGGACGTTGATAACGACTTAAAACAGATCCCTGGTACGTCAACAACAAAACTTTACATAACGACGAACGTACTTTCTACTCTCGTTTTCATCTCAAAAAACATGGACACAACATCTAACTTATGAACGATATGGCCACGACTGACATGCCCATCTGGAGGAGCCTAAAAAGGAGCTGGATGAGAGATCTCCTCATCTAAATCAAGGAAGTAAACAATGACCAGGAAGAGGTGCTGCTGGGTACTATCCTTCCTCATGCCTATAATGCCAATCATTATTTATCACAACACATCTGCCGATTTTCAATACCATGACAGGTGTGGATAGACATTTGAAGAGAAAAAAAAATTCTATAGAGTTTATTATTATTATATTAAATTTGAGTTTTTATAATAATGAAGTATATTTTGATAATTCTAACTTCGAATGAATGGTTTGTACGAGTATAACTAGATGCGTCAGTGGGCAAGATATGACGTAGGAGCTGTATTTAACTAATTGTTAGAATCGATAGTTGTCAGCTGCGCGCTCTTCATTTGTCATAATGTTCCTCTTCTTTGAGATGACAATTTCGTCCTATCTTGGATCCTTATAGTTCTTTTTTAATCTCATTTTTTTTTTAGTTTAAGAAAAATTTCAATAATTTAACAAAGATATTTAAAATATGAGAGCAGAACACTTCATACATTAATATACAAGCTGGATAATACCAGATTCTAATCGATTATCGACCATACGAAAATAACACACCGACCAAATCTTTCACACCAAATCCCTTTTCGAATTACTAATTCAAATATAGTTAGTACTTGTTCATCCAATGCAAAATATATTTTTAAATAACTACAAATCGAAGATACCTAATGATTTTTATTTGATTAATGAGTAAGTTGGATAAAGATACATATAAATTATTTTTATTCGTTCATTCAGTAATATAACATACTGCCACACAGGCAATAATTATAATGATGGTAAGAACACATTCACACTATATATACAGAAAACATAAAATCAACAAAAACAAAATAACATCTAAATAAAATCAAAAGGTATATACATTAAAAAATAAAATAGATAAGTAAAGATAAGTAAATTTTAGAAAATTACATCCATACCTATATGCAATAATTATTTTTATTATATAAATCATATTATTCTTACACTCTTATGGAAACATTATTTTATATTTTAAAACATTCCAGAAGATACTAGAGGTATTCATTCAACCAGTGCTAATTTATTGTAAACCTCTTAAATGTGCTAAACTCGAGAAACGTATTTAAGAAATTGGATATTTAATAGTTGACCGTTGCAGAGATGGTCCGGGGTGGCGGTCATAAATAGGCTAAATAGTGGCAAAACTATTTTATTAAAAGCCAACGTTTTAACCCGACTTTGCAGGTCTTCATCAGGGAGATGTGTTCAGCAAGGAGTTTCACTTAGTACTGAAACTCAGTGAAACTCCTAGCTGAACACACCTCCCTGAAGAAGACCTGCAAATTCGGGTCGAAACATTGGCTTTTAATAAAATAGTTTTTTACACTATATAGCCTATTTATGACCACCACCCCGGACCATCTCTTTCCTTTATTTAAGAAATGTGTGTAAACTGGCTTTAGCACCAGTAACGTGGTTGAGAGAGTGGCGCAGAGATCTCCTGGAGTTCTATTTCTCCTTCTATAGTTGGAGATAAAAGGAGAAGAGGCCTACTTGTAAATAATATATTTTTGAGTTTTTTTTATATTTTACTTATCTTTAAGTCATTTTATTTGTATTTATTGTATATACTTTTTGTCTATTATTTATTTGTTACTTTGCTTCTTTATACTTTCTTTTCTGTATATATTGTGTGAATGTAGTCTCACTCCACTATAATTATTGTCTCAGTGACAGAATACTATATTGCTAAATAAAAAAAAAGAAATGTGTGTTAAATATGGCCATTAACACACTCCATTTTAACATAGTCTGGGATCCTGAAAAGTGATGTTAATTTTGTAATAACTCTTTGAAAGAGAAGGTTATAATGATATTTTGATGTCATGTTTAGTTCTTTGTACAATACAAGTCTGTACAGTACTACAAACAATTGGACAGAAATTAGAAGCTGTCTTGACGAAATGATTGGAAGATTATAACGAGGTTTTGATGTGTTTAGTTCTTTGTACAATAAATGTACTAAAAAATGTGTCTCCGCCATTTCCTTCTGTAATCATTCATTCATTGACTGGATTAAATTGGATGTCATGAAATTATGTGATCAAGTTTTTCTTTCCTTTTCTGTCATGACAATTGACGAACCATTGAATTTTCCAATTGCAAACCAGTTAAATATAATTTTAAAAAATACATTTAAACATATATTATATTATATAAATATTTATATTTGGCAGATTGTTCCCGAAGGACGAAGTGCGAGCTCTGTACATCCTGATACAGAACCCCGTGTTCTCAGCCCAGTCTTCGTACACCATCTTGGCCCACCTACTGAAGCAGATAGTGGCTCTATCTGGCCCGGACCATCAGCTGTTAGTGCAATGGTTCCAATTGTGAGTATTGCTTCTAATAGTCCAATCAACAATCGAATAACGATAGATCAACAATGTTACCATGCCCAGATGTTTGTAGAAGATCAAAGAAGCCGGTATAGAACTTCACTTCGAATTTAAGACTCAATTTTTTCTATAAAACTTGATTTTTAAAATAATACGTGTTTATAATTCAATAAATAATTAAATTAAATAATTAAAATAATAAGTATAAAATTCAATTTATTTATCACAGCTATAAGAATTTGAAACAAAAATTTCAAAATCAAAATCGTATTAGAGATACGAAGTGATATGCCCTTTACAGGGATTTGGTTACGGATAAAAACGAAATCAAATTTATTCCTTAAATTTTCGAATCTAATTACAAATATTTTTTAAAATTCTGCAAAAATTCAAAATCCCCCAACTTTCAGTAGTGGGAAAGCAAAGTAACACATCAATAGCAATAATAAAATTTTAATTTTACAAAATTAATTTTTATCACACTACGACTATTCTATTCACTTCTCTCAAAATAAAAATTAAACCTAAAACCAGAACTGAACAATTACATTTACCAACTAAAGCCCATTTGGACCTCCGACTTACAAATTTAGGGAACAGCCAAAACGACCCACATACGAAAACTACAAACTTTTCAGTCAAAAACCTTGAGGACTGTAACTAAAGCTCCATGGTACGTAACAAACATTACATTACATAAAGACCATCCGATACCAACAGTTAATGACCATATACGGACACATTACAAAAGATTTCACAATAACTTATACATACTAACACACTTATACAAAGTACATTTAACATGCCTGAAAACAAACTTAAAAGGCTCAAAAGACGCTGGATGAGAGATTTCCTCGCTTAGAAATAGCTTAAAAAACCCAGACAGGAAGGGATGCCGCTGGGCTATCCTCTCCCTCCTGCTGATCAAGCCAGTACCAGCATTGTCTCCGACATTAGACTCTCTGATAGTCAGTACTTCTAACAGGTGTGGTATAGAGTTCAAAAAAATTATTGTTAAAGCTTTTATTTGACAATATTTTTTGTTATTGCTTTAAATAAGGCAGGTATCGTATTTCTTTACTTTGTAAGCAATTTATAAATAAACAATAAGATTTCATTTTGTTGAGTTCAAACCAACTCTATTTAGCTACTGCAGTAGTCATTTTCAAGGGAACTTAATATAACTTATATATGGTGTCTTCAAGGAATTTATAAGCCCTCATACTTTAAAGATTTAGTAAACTTTAAACGATGTTTCGGGTCGATTAGCTCATTCTAAATAACGCAGTAAATTTCAAATCTGATGTTAAAAATATAAGCCAACATTATGACCATATATTAAATGAAACACATTCAATGGAATTGTAACAGAATTTTCCGACATTTAGAGCACCTAAAAATGACAATAAGCGAAGATAACTCTATACTAGTTTGTCTCCAAGAAACACACTTACAAGAAACTCAAACAGTGAGATACAAAGATTACGATATATACCGAAAAGCAAAATATCGTCATGGGAAGACTTCGTATCTTCATTAAATCAAAGCATTTCAATGAAGGAGCTCTGAAATAAAGTGAAAAGCATTAAGGGGATCTCCAAAACAAAGAAATTGCCTGGTATAAAGAGTGGACAAGACATTATAACTGACCCTGACGAAATCGTTAACGAAAGTGATAAAACTCTGCAACGGAGTGTAATTTAAAGGCGTTGCCAATGACCCTACAGAGTAGAGGCAACAGAATACCAAATAAATAAATAAATAAATGAAACAAACTCTATTTACATTGGGATTTGAAACGGCAAATAAGAATTTAAAAAACGTAAGCAGCAGAGCTCCATCACCATACTAATTTTTCTCTTTTTTTCATAAGACAAAAATGATGTAAATTTAAATAATTATTTAATTAACACTGGCCTCAGGATGTTGGATAGAATTTTTAAATCAATTGTGTTTCTGAATTTCTTTGTCATGTTTAGTTTTCGAAAATTTATAATTTATTTCCGAATTTAATTTGTTATATAGTGTTGGGAGAAAAAAACTTAGGAATCCAAAAAGACACTTTTCTACTAATAAATCAAATACAGAATTGTATTCCTTTTTTTTTATATAACTTCATGTAATTATTTAATTTATTCATTATAAATTCTATTTTTCATTTATTTTAGTTGTTATTAAATTATTTTTTCTTTATTACTTGTTTCTTGTATATTATTCATTGATACTTTGAGTTGAGGCCAACTCTGTTTAAATGAAGTTTCCAAAGGAATGTTAAAAATAAATATTGTTGAATGATTCTAAGTGTTTTTTTCCTTTATGAAATGGCTAACCACCCAATGATTTATTTAATCTAATAAATAAAATTTATTTTAAAAGTTTTCATCCAACTTTGTATAGTCCGCATCACAGAACTTTTCTTTTTTATCACATTATTAATATCAGTATAAAACCTGGAAAAAAAGCTTTATCCTTACGTAATCTACAAAATTTTTATTTACGAAAATTCACGGAAATTTGCTGTTTTCATTCTGGAGATCGGCAAACATTGTCTATTTAATTAGGAACTAAAAATTCGTAAATACCCATTTACTTAAATTGAATCATAAGACATAAGAAGCACAAAATCGGGAAAAAAGGCGGACTTTGAAAATATCGAAAATACCTACACCTTCAACATGTTAAAATAACGAGGTTATATATGCCAAACAGCCCAACATTTTTGTAGGTCACCTTTTTTCTCGATTTTATGAACAAATTACGATTCAAGTGGAAAGCAAATGGGTATTTTCTGAACCTAGTTAAAAAGACTTAGTTTGCAGATCTTTAGATTTAAAACGCTCCAATTCAAGAGTTTTCGTAAATAAAATAGTTGTAGGTTACGATGAGATGAAGCTATTTACGAAGTTTTTGGCGGTTGTTGGTAATTTGATCAAAATTAGTCTGTATCACGGACTATAATGTAAACCTTTAACTAAAAATCCATGAATATCCATTTGCTTTACACTTGAATCGTAAGATAATTAGATCACGAAATCGAGAAAAAATGTGGTATACAAGAGTTTTGGGCTATTTATCGTGATATCCACTGCCAACATGTCAAAGTAAGTTCTTTTTTCGATTTCATGATCAAATTATCTTATGATTCAAGTGGATATTCATTGGTACATATTACTTCATTCTATTAAATAATTTAATGAGAAAACGCCCAATTTCTGAGAACTTTCGTTGATAAAAAAGTTGTATATTATGATAAGATAAGCCATTCAAGAAGTTTTAGATAGATTTTAATAATTTCATAAATATGGATCTGTACCGAGGAATAGTAGTTTGCATTAATAGAAAAAAAAGCATATATATTTTAAATATTTTATATCGATTACGTCTTTACTGTTGTGTAATATATCGATTACTTAGTTAATAAAAGAAAAATTAATTCATCTTCATGACGAGGACTGAATCGAGAAGCGATTTTGTGATTACCTGTCAGTTCTGTTTTACAATTGGGTCAGGATGACTCAATAGTTTGGTAGAGGTTTTTGTGTCCCGTTAGAACAATACCACCAACCTTAACGAAGATTGATCGATGTCACTGTTCCTAGTTGGAATCCAAACTTTTCCTCTTGTACTGTTTTTTGTATAATTTTTTTTAATTTGTATTGTGAAAACAATTTTTTTTAAAACTTAACTAATTAATAGCAAATTCTCTATGTTAATAGATTTTTTTTTTTTCGCAACTGCTTTAGAAACCCTCTCACATACTTATTTTATTAATAGCCATTGTGATCGACCGAAAAATTCAAAAACTTAACCTCCTCTCAAAATTTGAGGTCCGGGCATTTTCTCCGAAACTACTGGACCGATTTTTTTTCAAATTTGGATATAAAATCAGAGGTCACCCGAGGACGATCCTCCTTCAACGACATTACTATCCGCGTTTTACTTTCAAAATAGCGGCCGAAAAACCTGCGTTGCTATAGACTGTAGCTCCTAAACGAATGTACTGATTTTAAAACTTCCCTAAAGTAATTTTCTCGACGCTCTTTAAATGTATCTATATAACATACTTCAACGAAAAGAAGCTGGAAAAAAAGTTACGAGGGATGGTTAAATTTAATTCCGATTAACTCAAAAAGTATACAAATTTTTGTAGATATTGTATGGCTTTTTAAAAGTTTACGGAAGTTCCTAAAAAAATCGTTAAAATCGGACAATTAGGAGCAAAGATATGGCCTCCTTTTTTTTTTTTTTATATGTTCTACTTCAAATGTTATATCCTTGTTTGGTTTATAAATTTTGAATGTGTTACTGAAGTAATACTATTTTTTTTTACCATATTATTAATGATTAAAACAAAGTTTAGTCCAATAATTGGAATCATCTTTAATTTATTTTTCTTTGTAACTAGGAAGGTAATGTTACTTTAGATGTATAATTGTTTGGAAATAATAAACCATTGTGAAATAATTTACAGCGTTTTTTACTATAATACCTAGAAATTGTAATAATTTCAAGAATAAATAAAATATTAAAACAAAAAACTATTTGCATGAAATGAATTTAAAATATATTTGAAGCACAATAATATATTACTAGTACAATAAGTGAGATGAATTACTTGACAAACATGTCTGTGTTTCAATATTTTATGTTTCCTTTCTTTTCTTTTTTTTTCAACATGACAGAAAGAATCTATCTAATATTTTTTTCTAAACCCAACAGGAAGGGAACTATAGAACTTTAAAAAATTATCCATTTCGATTTCTTCACAATAGTGCTCTTTCAATTTTGAACGGGAGAATTCTGTAATTCCATTTTAATCTTGTCCAAAGAATTTGGAGCGTTCCTTGAAGACAATGAGCCATTGACTGGAACGGTAGACGGTCGTCGGAAGGTGTTTTGAAAACTGTGTTACCGGATGGGCCAGACCTCTCCTCCCTCCCCCCAAACGTGGATCCTTCCCCTTCATCCCAATAAAATGCATACAGTTGTGTTTC